GGCTGTAGTGTCCCAAGATGGAGGCAGTCTGGGGGGAGCCATATGTTAATAGATTGGAATCTGCAGCACAGTCAGGTCCTCTCTCCCAACTTTATTCTTTTGCACTTAGTTATCTGGTACTTTGTGTTTGTTTTTTTAGTGTACATAAAATTTATTTTGGGGGCTGCTTAACACTTGGTAAATAGTTTGATATCAAGAAAATCATTTCCAAAAGATAAATGAAATAGTATAGTTCTTTTATTTATTTATTTTTGTTTTACTTAGTTACACATGACAGTACAGTGATCTTGACATATCATAAATTTGAATCAGATGGGATGTAATTTCTCATTTTTCTGAGTATATAGGTTGCAGAATCACATTGGTCATGCAGTCACATATATACACACAGTAATAATGTCTGTTTCATTCTACTATCCTTCCTATCTCCCCAACCCCATCCCTCCCCTCCCTCCACTTCTCTTAACTTAATCTAGGGTAATGCTATTCTTTTTTTTTTCCTCACATCTTCATACATGTGTTTTGTATAACAATGAGGGTCTCGTTCCACCATCCATGCAATTCCATTTCTCCCTCCCTTTCCTCTTCCCTGTGTAGAGGACTTCCAAATTCATTCTATGAGGCCAATATCACCCTGATTCCAAAACCAAACAAAGACAACTCAAAGAAAGAAAACTTCAGACCAATATCTCTAATGAATATAGATGTAAAAATCCTCAATAAAATTCTGGAAAATCGGATACAAAAACATATCAAAAAGATCGTGCACCATGATCAAGTGGGATTCATCCCCGGGATGCAAGGTTGGTTCAACATAAGGAAATCAATAAATGTAATTCATTACATCAATAGACTTAAAGATAAGAACCACATGATCATCTCGATAGATGCAGAAAAAGCATTTGACAAAATACAGCATCCCTTTATGTTCAAAACACTAGAAAAACTAGGGATAATAGGAACTTACCTCAACATTGTAAAAGCTTTCTATGCTAAGCCTCAAGCCAGCATCATTCAAAACGGAGAAAAACTGAAGGCATTCCCTCTAAAATCTGGAACAAGACAGGGATGTCCTCTCTCACCACGTCTATTCAACATAGTTCTGGAAACAGTGGCCAGAGCAATTATAAGAAAGAAATTAAAGGAATAACTATAGGAAAAGAAGAACTTAAACTAGCACTTTTTGCTGACGATATAATTCTATACCTTGAAGACCTAAAAACCTTTATCTATTTTTTTTAGAGAGAAAATTTTTTTAATATTTATTTTTTAGTTTTCGGTAGACACAACATCTTTATTTTATTTTATTTTTTATGTGGTGCTGAGGATGGAACCCAGTGCCCGGCAATGCCAGGCAAGCGCGCTACCGCTTAAGCCACATCCCCAGCCCCATTTATCTATTTTTGAGATTGCAAAAATAGTGTTTTCTCTCTTGTAAAAAAAATTGGAGTAGCTTACCAATTTTTTAAAAAAGATTACCTTTACAAATATTTCCTTCCACAACAGTATCTACTATTTATTGATTTTATCTAGATAAAAATATCAAGCACTTAGGAATTCTGAAGAATAAAGTCACACAGTAGATAATTTTTTTTCTAATATTCTTAGTTGTAGGTAGACACAGTACCTTTATTTGTTTGTTTGTTTATGCAGTGCTGAGAATCAAACCCAGTGCCTCACACCTACTAGGCAAGTGCTCTACCACTGATAACCCCAGCCCCTGGATAATGATTTTTTAAGGTAACACAGCTTAAAGTTTACCTTCTGTTTCTTGTGAGGCAATGAATCATAATTAATCATGTCACAGAATAACTGAAATTTGTTGGTGGTAGTATAAGCATAACCTCAACCTATCCTGATAAGTTTGTTCTACTGTACATTTGTAAAGGGATCAATAGTCTGTCTCAGTGTGTCTTGATGTATTTTATTTTATGTAATTGTTATAAACAAGAAGAAAATCCAAGTTTTTTTCTGAGTGAAGATCAGTGAATTTGTTTCAAAGTTCCCATATCCCTTTGTTTTACTGTTCAAGCAAATGAGATTTATATATTTTGAAAGAATTAATACGTAAATCTGATTAAATTTCATTCTATTTGGTGCTCTTTTATTGCTTATAAGCAAAATGAAGGCCGCAAATCCTAAATGCCTAGTGCACATATTATTTGTTTTCTTGCATATACAGGATAATATCACAAATAGAATTTGTAGACCAAATTTTCTTGGCAAGGAAATAGAGGCTCGGAGAAATGACTGAATCATTTAGGTTTCATATTTCATTAGTGGTAGGGTAAGTCTGAGTACACATAGTAGGACCTCAAATAAAAACAATATTTTGCCTATATTTTGATTGCTTTCTCTTCATTATGAATCCGGTTTAAATGAGTGGACACGCTTAGTATTTGACCCTATTTATGTATCTGACAGTTTTATTACTCAGAAAACACAGCCTAATCACTGTGTACACAATTGATCATTAGCTTATGGTGAAAAATTCCTATTTTAATAGAATCTTTAAGAGAAATATTTGTCACCTTTCTTTGATTATCTCTTCTATGTTTAACTGCCATCACTCCATGAAATATATCCTTAAATCAGAAAGTTGCTTAATTTGGAGACCATAGGGTCCTTACAAATCCATTTTATAGGCATTTCTGAACCCACTAAAATTGTGTGTAAAACTTAGTTCACAGATTCTCAAAGATCCAGTCTTCAAGGTCAACCTGTATTCTCATTGTATAATTTTGCTTCATTTCTTTTTATCTCACATTGGAAAATATTACTTTCCTCCACAGATAGGGCTACATTAATTTTAGAAATTATTACTGTTCCCAAATTAAAAATGTCAGATCATTTTAATTTTTTTATAGGCTCTTTTGAACCCTTTCCAAATTCTTTATAAACCTGAATGCTAAGAACCTCAGAATTAGAAATCGTGTACTAATGAACATCTAGTTTAGGATCTTGGATCTAGTGACAGTAATGTCAGAGGGTTAGGGGAAGCAGACATAAAGCTGTAAAGATAGATCCTGGAACAGCCCCACAAGATAGTTTAGACCCTTTAGGTCAAAGCAGATAGGGCCAGGGGTTCAGGTAAAATTAACAGGATTGGGCACATTTCAGTTTTTGAAGTAAGAAAAATACAGGTCCTGAATAAAAGGAACCATGATAGGGAGTAGGAATCAAGCTCAAGCCCAAGATAAGCCAAAAACAAATGAGTCAGAACCATAGAATGAGAATCCAGGTTGACCTTGAGGACTAGATCTTTGAGAATTTGTGAATTAAGTTTTACACACAACTTCAGAGAGTTCAGAAACACCCATAAAATGGATTTGTTAGGGCTCTTTGGACCCCAAATTAAGCAATAGAATCCTGCAAAAGATCTAAAACATAACTTGATGCATATGAGCAAACTGCCCCCATTATTATGTCACTTCATTTCCAATATCGAGGCTCTTTGGGGAGATGGCTGCTATAGTTTGCAATACAAATACTTGTCTCTTAAGGTTTCCTTTCTCCTTGCAACTTCTGAACTCACGGCAGCCTCAAGGCTTTAGATTCCTGAGGGTTGTTTCTAAGGGGTATGACTAATGGAAACAGTGAGGTGGAGCTTGCAAGATAAAATATATAAACTAGGTTATTAAAATCACTAAAGTTGGGAAGATTTAGACTCTTCTGTGAATCTGATGACAATGTGGGCTGTTTCTCTCTAAGGCAGGCCAAATATAAATCATGCAGAACACTTTTATACAAGTAATCTGTCGGTCTAAAACTGATTCATGGTTAAAAACACCTGATGGAGGTGTTTAAATATTCTGTATTTCTTAACTCATTTGTTTCCTGTCCTTTATTAATGTTTTATAGAATTACTTTAACTGATGTCTCATCTGCTAAGGAGATTTGAGAATATAGTTTCCACATGTCAGCCAAAAGATTAATGAGGGAAACACTGCTAATAAGGCCAGAGTAGTGGCAGCAATAATTTGGGACAGATCCCTGGGAGCGTAGTCAATTTGTGGGATGAGAATTGTGTCAGAGAAATTCAGCATCTCTATCTGGATGATTTTTCCTCAATTCCTGCATTCAAATCTAGGTCCTATTTTTTACTTTTTAAGAAATGATTCCTCTATGAATTGTGTAATAGGATGCAGTGCACCATCAGTTTTAAATGGTTCCTGTTAGAGCACCATCCACTTCTCAAGCATGGCTGGCCTGGGCCCTTGGGCAGTGGGTAAAACCTCTGAGTCTAATAGGATAGTGCAAGAGGGTATAACTAGAAGAATTATTGTTATTTGTTACTATATTGTTAATCTTACTTATCAATCTCTAGAACCAGATCCTTCTGGCTATATGTAAAACTGTAAGATTAAAGTAATTAATCCAGAAAATTTAATTTGAATAACACCTCATTTACCACAAATTTTAGATCTCTGGAAACAGCATCCAGAATATCTTACATTTCACAAAAAAAGAAGAAATTTTTTTTTTTCTTTTTCCTTTTGTAAGTTGTAGCAAAATAATGTTTAGAAGAAGAAATTCCCAAATATGGACATATTTACATTTTTTAAAAATTAAAGGTTTATTACATATTTGAGAATATTGGTTGCTATGTTTTTGTTTTAACTGGTTTTCCTCCCCTTTACTTGACCTCTCCAAGTCCTTTCTTTCTGTGAAACCTAATTAGGGACCTATGAAGTAGAGTTAGTAGAGGCTAAACTAATGATATTTTTTTATATGAATGAGATAATCTATGCCCAGTCTCTAGTTATAGTACCAGACACACAATACTAATGGTTATAATGGTGCTTTTTCCAAGATAGTCTAGTCAACCTTTAACTTCTTTATTCTCTGACCACAAAAACCACTTACTGCTTACACTACTTTTTGACACTTAACTCTCCTATTTTAGATGTTACAGTTTCAATAATCAGTGAAATCATATACTTCCCTTACAAGCCATATGGCCTTCATTTTGATTTTTGTTTTTTTTTTCCCCTCACCAGAAAATGAAAACACTAGCAGAAAGGAGAAGGAGTGCTCCATCTCTTATCTTGGATAAAGCTCTGCAAAAACGGCCTAGTACCAGGTAGGTACAAAACTTTATATACACATTTGGTTTGTGCTTAGAAATTTATGTTAGATGTGTTTTGGGATCATGTGCTATTTTGTAAAGGAGGGGATTATTTGTTTATCAGCATTAGAATTCTATGTTTAATAATAGAAAACATGATTTCTGTTCTGAAATTATTTGATAAGACATATTCTTTTTTTTTTTTTGGTACTAGAGATTGAACCCAGGGGTGCTTAACCACTGAGCCACACATCCCCAGCCCTTTTTAAAATATTTTATTTAGAGACAGGGTCTTGCTAAGTCGCTTAGGGCCTCACTAAGTTCCTAAGGCTGGCTTTGAACTCAAGAATCTCCTGCCTCAGCCTCCTGGGCAGCTGGGATTTCAGGCGTGGGTCACCATACCTGGTGATAAGACTATTCTTTATGATAATCAGAGCCCTTTAGAGTGAGTATATGTGTTTGGTTGCTTTAAAACTGATTCAGAAATGAATCTTACATCGTAGAGATACGAAGATTCCGTGTTTGTCAAACTTTATTTGTAGAACAATTAGAAAGCACAATACTCAAAAATGGATTTCAGTTATGTATAAAAATTTACTTATTTTTGTCACAAGGTGATGCCGTACATGAATATTTTAACCAATTTTAGATATGAAGAAAGATATGAAGTAAGATTTTTTTAAAATGAATATTGACTTCTTTTAAGTAGTATTGGTTAATTAGTGAAGTTTGAAATGGAAAAACAGGCTAAATAGCGACTAATGATCACTTCACCTATTAAGACTAATTATTACTTTGACTGAAATTTTCAGAAAGTCTTTTGTAGTATATAGAAATTGAATGGATATTCAGTCATTAATTTATTTATTAAATGGCATTTTAACTCAGGAGTTTTTATGTTCAAGCCCTGTGATGACATTCCTCTAAGCAATGAATCCTTTTATATAAAGTGAAGCCATTATCATCTTTATTTAAAGTGAGGGTACACCAGTAATTATTAGTCCTATGAATTATCTGCTACTTTAACAAAATATATGTGGACACATGGAAGTTTTTCAGTGCCAAAATAAATTATATTTCCCAATCTCAATTAGTGAAATTTATCAAAATACATATCAGAAGCATATGTAAATGACTTTGGATTATTTGCTTCAGCATTGTATTTGCATTAGTATAGATGAAAGAATTGTTATGTCTTCACAATTTGAGCTTGATTGCCTAAAATGTAGTAGAAAGTATTTTAAAAGGAGGTGGATACACAAAGGAGGCAAAATTATCAGTATATCTGTCTTTAATTTTCTTTTGTGTATGTAAAGATTTGTTGTCTTTTTTTTTAAGCAGGTACAGTTTTAGGTGAAATTTAGTAGAGGCTTCTAGATTGGAAATGCACTAGGCTTTTTAGTTAAAAGTAGTACTAATATCATATATAAAGTATCTTCAACCTGATCATAGGGATCAGTAGTCACTTTCTCCGCAACCCAAGGCTAGAATACATATTAGTATACACATAGGTACTGAAACTTATTAAATACTAAATTCACTTATTTATAAACCAATGGCTCCGAAATAAGTGGTGCTAACCTCTAGGAGGCACTTTGGAATTGTGTGGAGCATTGAGTTTTTCACAGAGAATTATTGGGCAGTATCCAAAAATGTAAAGCACAGAACATCCTATGTAGCAAAGAGCTGTGCAGTTCCTTCATAGCTTTTGAATGTTCTATGTATGGAATATTTGTGAAGGGGAAAAACCTTTATGTAGTTTTCTGTGCCTAAGCTTGTTTTATTTATGAACACAAAAGTATTTCATACATTTTAATAAATACTAAATTTCCTTGAAATGCACCTTCATACATCAAGAGATAATTGTACTTCATATGGTTTGGAACCTTTTCCAGAAATCACTTGCTATACTTCATTTTTGTTTACTTGTTGCGTAAGATAGTTTTTTATCCTACCTCTCTTAAATTTGAATGTATCACTTATAAGTAGATGTGAGCATCTATTTCATCATCTTTTGATAGTCATGCTTAAACATATACATATTGAGAAATACAAATTATTTTCATTTTATTTTTCCTTTATATTGCTGTTAGAATATTTTATTAGTATGTTTGAAATTATTTTAAATACCCACGAATTTCATTTTAGGATATAAAAGGAGAAATTAAAATAATTGTGTGTATATAGACTTTTTTATATAACAAAAGGGCATTGGATTTAGTAGAACCAAGAACCACCAGTATAGATGAAGTGCCAGGTTAGGAAAAGTGCTAACACTTATCTGACTCACTAGGAAAGTTCATTTATTATTGTTTTGGGTGAGAGAATTAGTCCAATAATATACAGCCATGTCCCTCCCCGCTTCCCTTTTACCTCTGCAATAATTGGTGTTTATCTTAGAGCCAGTTCCCAAATTCCTGTCTCAGTAGTCACAAAAAATAATGGGTTTGTGTCAAAATAGCCCTAAGGAAAAATGCTTTCAGTTAAAGTTGTATGTGTTTTAAATCAGCTTATTTCCTATTAGTTTCTATAGGTCAATAATGAGTGTAGCGCTGGGGAACAGGACATTCTTAGAGAAATGATGTTTTTAAACTCTGTGTATGTAGCTGTTGGTGGTTAGACTCTGAATCTGTACAGAATATTTGTACGTATAATTTTAGTTTTGGAAAGAGCTTTAAAGGTGACCTAGATTGATAATTCCCAAACCTTTCTAACTTGGTATTCAGCAGTGGGACTCAAGCATCTGCATATTTTCTTTCAAAAACACTCTTTAGTTGACTCTGTTGCACTCCTTTTTAAAAAAACAAAAATTATTTTGGCAGGAACACTAAGTATGAGTTCTACCACTTTACAGATTTTTAAGTATACAGTGTATTACTGCTGTCTATAGGATTCTGATGTAGTCTTAGTGGAGAACCACTGTCCTTTTGTACTTATTTGCTTACAAAAAATACCAAAACAGTTTTAAGAAAGTATTTTAAATTAATAAAAGTAGTACATATTTCTTATAAAGCAAACAATAGGGATATGTATAAAACAAAAAGAAAGTCCCTACTTCATCCCAAGGTGTAGCCACTATTAATAATTTGTATATTCTATTTTTGGCGTGTGGGAAGGTGCCAGAGATTGAACTCAGGGGCACTTGACCAGTAAGCCACATCCCCAGCCCTATTTTGTATTTTATTTAGAGACAAGTTCTCACTGAGTTGCTTAGCACCTTGATTTTGCTGAGGCTGGCTTTGAACTCACGATCTTCCTGCCTCAGCCTCCTGAGCTGCTGGGATTACAGGCGTGCACCACTGTGCCCAGCAATTCTTTTCAGTTTTTATGTATGCACAAGTGACTGGAATTTTGATTTGCTTTCCCTTGTGTTTGAATTCTCATTTTAGCATACATATGTTAGTCATTTTCATTTTCAAGTCTCTTGCACTATTTTGTAATTGGAGTTCAAATCTTATTACAACAGACATTCAAAAAATATGAATTTTGTCTATATAATACATGTTCCTGAAAAAATTACATTAATCAGATTTTTATAAATTATTGTTTGCTATTTTAAAGAAATATGTAGTAAATTGTTTTAATTAAGTAATGTACTTTTATTTTTTTTCAAAGTTGTCAAAGATTTTTATAATTAGACTTTTGCTTTTATATATGTTACGTGCCAGAAATGTGAAGTTTCTAAAGTCTAAGATGGTAGTACCCCTATTTCGTGTAGAATGTTACACAGAAAAATTATAGTACCTCCCCAGAAGTCATTGTCTCTTGAAATGCAAAATGGGAACTAGCTTGCAAAAGATTTGTATGCAACAATGGGGCAGACATCAAAGAAACAGTATTTTATATATTGGCATTTCATTTTTCTTGGCTTTTTGGTAGACCTATTTCTACTATTGTCCCATGGTTAATTTGCTACTTAATAATAATAAAGCTCTTCCCAAAGTTTAACAAAATATCTGCAGAGGATTTAAAAGAATACTTTCATTTAACAGCTGTTACATTGCGATTTTTTTTAATTTAATGAACAAGCTAAATTGAAAGAAGAGGAAAGAATTGGGTGAATTGATGAGTTGACTGTGTTTATGCATGTCTTAAACAGCTGTATTACCAGTGTTCTTTGATGAACCTATAGAGTATGCAGAGGCACTTTACAGATTTTTAACATTTTTTTGTCTATGGACACCATTCAAATTATCTGAAGGTGGTTTCTCTAAGTTATGTATTTGGGATAGCAGATTATAGACATCTTTCATACTAAGAAGGTTGGAGGTTTTCTAAGGTGAGTAGTTATAACATGGTTACATTCAGCTCCTTTTCTTCTTCAACACAGTGGTGTTCAGTTCTTTAAGAATGACCTCACCTTGTATCATAGTCATTCTCCTGTTAAAATGCTGGGCACATATATTAAAGGGTTCAGTTTTCTTGAAAGTAAAATGAGATGTTGAACTATATTATTTGTTAAAAACCCTTATAATCCTATAGTTATATATTATGATTTGTTAAAATTCAGTAAATCAAGACTTCATTACCTATACCCTGAATTCTAAACACACCACACTTTCTAGTCTTGGTTCAAATTTCAGTTCCTTCAGGAACCAACCTTTATAAATAACATTTATCTTCTTATAGCACCTTGTATATCTTTTAATCATGGCACTTATATGTCACTCTCTTTAGTGTCTTAGCATGCATTTAGTAATAAGATAAAATAATAATTTTAACAAAATAAAAAGGATTAGCAAGGATGGTGGAATGTGATGGACATCATTATCCAAAGCACATGTATGAAGACTCGAATTGGGTGTCAACATACTTTATATACAGAGATATGAAAAATTGTGGTATATATGGGTTAATAAGAATTGTAATGCAAAAAAGTACACGTATAAAGGCATGAATTGGTGTGAACATACTTTATATACAAAGATATGAAAAATTGTGCTCTATATGTGTAAGAAGATTTGTAATGCATTCTGCTGTCATGTATTAAAAAATAAAATCAATAAAAAACAAAG